CCATCAGCCTAACCTACCCCCTCCATGAGACCCAAGACCCTCACCCTGATCCCTCTGCTTGGGTCAGATCTAATCCCAACCAGGAATTCTCAAGAAGGATCAAACTAGATTCACTAAAGAGAAATCATGCTTGACAAATTTTCTGGAATTTTTTTGAGGATGTGACCAGTACAGTGCACAAGAGCGAATTAGTAGATGTCGTGTATCTGGATATTCAAAAGACTTTTGACAAGATTCCACATAAGAGATTAGTAAGCAAAATTAAACTTCATGATATCGGAGGTAATATATTGACACGGATAGATACTTGGTTGGCAGACAGGAAGCAGAGAGATGGAATAAACAGGTCCTTTTCAGAGCGGCAGGCAGTGGTGAGTGAGGTACCACAGGGTTCAGTGCTGGGACCCCAACTGTTCACAATGTACATTAACAATTTGATGAAGGAATTGACTGCAAAGTCTCCAAATTAGCAGATGACACTAAGCTGGGTGGAAGTGTGCTGTGAAGAAGATGCTAAGAGGCTGCAAGGTGACTTGGACAGACCGGCTGAGTGAGAAAATACTTAGCAAATGCGATGTAATATGGATAAATGTGAGGTTATCCACTTTGGTGGCAAAACAGGAAGGCATATTATTATCTGAATGGTGGCAGTTTAGGAAAAGGTGAGGTGCAATGAGACCTGGTCATCGTGGAACAGTTGCTGAACGTTGGCATGCAGTGCAGCAGGCAGTGAGGAAAGCTAATGGCATGCTGGCCTTCATAGCGAGAGGGATTGAGTACCAGAGTAGGGATGTCTTGCTGCAGTTATACAGGGCACTGGTGAGGCCAGACCTTGAGTAATGTGTGCAGGTTTGGTCTTGTAGTCTGCAGAAGGACATTCTGGCTATTGAGTGATTCATAGATAGGGTCATAGAGATGGATAGCATGGAAACAGACCCTTTGGTCCAAGTTATCCATGCAGACCAGATATCCTAAATTAATCTAGTCCCATTTGGCTCATATACCTCTAAACTCTTCCTATTCATACACCAATCCAGATGCCTTTTAAATGTTACAATCGTACCAGCCTCTATCATTTCCTCTGCCAGCTCATTCTGTACACGCACCACCCTCTGCATTAAAAGGTTGCCCTTTGGGTCCGTTTTAAATCTTTTCCCTCCTACCCTAAACCTATGCCTTGTAGTTTTGGACTACCCCACCCTAGGGAAAAGACCTTGTCCATTTACCCTATCCATGCCTCTCATGATTTTACAAACCTCTATAAGGTCCCCCCTCAGCCTCCAACGCTCGAGGGAAATAGCCCCAGCCTATTCAGCCTCTCCCTATAACTCAAACCCTCCAACCCTGGCGACAACCTTGTAAGTCTTCTATGAACCCTTTCAAGTTCCACAACATCCTTCCTATAGCAGGGAGACCAGAATTGCACGCAGTATTCCAAAAGTAGCCTAATCAATATCTTGCAGAACCGCAACATGACCTCCCAACTCCTGTACTCCATGCACTGACCAATAAAGGCAAGCAAACCAAATGCCTTCTTCACTATCTTGCCTACCTGGGACTCCAATTTCAAAGAACTATGAATCTGAACTCCGAGGTCTCTTTGTTCAGCAACTCTCCCTGGAAATTTACCATTAAGTCTATAAGTCCTGCCCTGATTTGCCTTTTCAAAATGCAGCACCTCACATATGTTTAAATTAAACTCCATCTGTCACTTCTTGGCCCATTGGCCCATCTGAATAATATCTCATCGTACTCTGAGGTATCTTTGCTGTCCACTACCTGTCCTATTTTGGGTGTCATCTGCAAACTTACTAACGATACCTCCTGTGTTCACATCCAAATCATTTAATAAATGATGAGAAGCAGTGGACCCAATGCCAATCCTTGTGGCACACCGCTGGTCACAGGCCTCCAGTCTGAAAAGCAACTCTTCACCACCACCCTCTGTGTTCTACCTTCAAGCCAGTTCTGTATCCAAATGGCTAGTTCTCCCTGTATTCCATGTAATCTATCCTTGTGAACCAGTCTACCATGAGGAACCTTGTCGAACGCCTTTCCAAAGTCCGTATAGATCATGTCCAACATGCTGCCCTCATCAAGGTTCTTTGTTACTTCTTCAGAAAACTCGATCAAGTTAGTGAGACACAATTTCCCACGCACAAAGCCATGTTGACTATCCCTAATCAGTCCTTGCCTTTCCAAATATATGTAAATCCTGTCTCTCAGGATTCCCTCCAACAACCTGCCCATCACCGATGTCAGGCTCACTGCTCTATAGTTCCCTGGCTTTTCCTAACCACCTTTCTTAACTAGTGGCACCACATTTGCCAACCTCTAGTCTTCCGGCACCTCACCTGTGGCTATCGATGACACAAATATCTCAGCCAGGGGCCCAGCAATCACTTCCCTAGCTTTTATACTCTTGTAGGGATTCACTCGATTACTACTGTCTATAGCTGACATATGCTTCCTTCTTATTCTTGACCAAAACCTCAATTTCTCTAGTCATCCAGCATTCCCTACACCTGCCAGCCTTGCCCTTCACCCTAACAGGTACATCCTGTCTCTGGAATCTCATTATCTCATTTTTGAATTTTGGATTCCCATTTTCTAGCCATCCCTTTACCTGCAAACATCTGCCCCGAATTAACTTTTGAAAGTTCTTGCCTAATATCACCAAAATTGGCCTTCCTCCAATTTAGAACATTTAGATCTGGTCTATCCTTCTTCATCACTATTTTAGAACTAAAAGAATTATGGTCATTGGCCTAAAAGTGCTCCCCCACTGACATGTCAGTCACCAAGAGTAGGTCAAGTTTTGCACCTTCTCTAGTAGGTACATCCACATACTGAATCAGAAAATTTTCTTGTTCACTCTTAACAAATTCCTCTGCATCCAAGCCGTCAACGCTATGGCAGTCCCAGTCTATGTTTGGAAAGTTAAAATCCCCTACCATAACCACCCTACTTTCTTACAGATAACTGAGATCACCTTACAAATCTGTTTCTCAATTTCCCGTTGACTATTGGGTGGTCTATAGTACAATCCCAATAAGGTGATCATCCCTTTCTTATTTCTCAGTTCCACCCAAATAACTTCCCTGGACGTATTCCCAGGAATATACTCTCTAAGAACAGCCGTAATGTTGTCGCTATCAAAAGCACCACTCCCCCTCCTCTGTTGCTCCCCTTTCTATCCTTCCTATAGCATGTATACCCTGGAACATTAAGCTGCCAGTTCTGTCCATCTCTGAGCTGTTTCGCTGTAATCACTATGATATCCCTGTCCCATGCTCCCAACCATGCCCCGAGTTCATCTGCCTTACCAGTATCGGTACCAGAAACCTGACTGTCAGTGCTACATTTCCCTGGGAGTCCATCACCCCCTACACTTTCCAAAACAGTATCCCTGTGTGAGATGGGGATAGCCACAGGAGACGCCAGCACTACCTGCCTACCTCGCCTGCCTTTTCTGGAGGTAACCCATCTACTTCACTATACCTGTGGATTTTCTCCCCTCCTGCAACTGCCATCCATCGCACCCACTAGCTCCTGTAAATTCCTCATTGCCTCTAACTGCCGCTCAACCAATCCATGCGATCCAATAGGATTTGCAACCAAACACACTTCCTGCAGACATAATCATCAGTAACATGGAAACTCTCCCTAATCGCCCACGTCCGACAGGAAAAGCACATCACTCTACTAAAGGCCATCTTTGTACCTTAGCAACCTCCAAACCCAGAAAATAGCCCAGTCTTACTGCTCTAAAAACACTGCTCCAGGCTAACCTAGTTCTTATATTTTATGTTTTTAAAGCTTAATCAAGAGTGAAGGTTCACCAGACTGATTCCCGGGCTGGCCGACTAACGGATGAAGAAAGGCTAGATTGACTGGGTTTGTACTCATTGGAATTTAAAAGATGGAGGGGGAATCTCATAGAAACATATAAAATCCTGATGGGGCTGAACAGGTTAGATGCAGGAAGCATATTTCTGTTGTTAGGGAAGTCTAGAATTAGTGGTCAGAGTATCAGAATAATGGGTAAGCCATTCAGGACGGAGATGAGGAAGAATTTCTTCACTCAGAGAGTTGTCAACCTGTGGAATTCTCTTATCGCAGGAAGCAGCTGGGGTGAATTTGTTAGATATATTCAAGAGGGAGCTGGACATGGCCCTTGTGGCTAAAGGGATGAAGGGATTTGGAGAGAAAGTAGGAATGAGATACTGAGATTGCATGACCAGCCATGATCGTATTGGTGCAGGTTCAAAGGGCTGAACGGCCTACTTCTGCACTTATTTTCTAAGTTTATGTTTCAGACACAATTGTTAACTCTGTTTTTCTCTCCACAAATATCACCAGACTTGCTGAGTTTCTCCAGCGCCTTGTTTTATTTCAAATTTCCACCATCTGCAGTATTTTGCTCTTACATCAATTCCTATCTTACTCTTCCTGTTGCTTCTTTCTTTCTCTCTGTCTCTCTCTATTTGGTTTTCTATTTCAAATCTGACTGTAATCCAGCCTATTTCCTTCACCTGGTTTATTCACACAGGTTCACCTTCTTTTTCCTTTGGTTAAAGAGAAAGAGTGTTTGACCAATAGCTCACTGTGCTCTCTGCTATCCCTTCATCCTAGTCACTGGCTCCCACTTCCAGAGGGTACAGGAAAGACAGCAATTCACAATGCTCACCACAGGGTGCCCTAATTTCTTAGCCATTCTCTGTCTCACATCAACTCACAAACTCCTTCTCCTGTTCTCTCTTACTCTCACACTTGTGTCATACACGGATCTCATTTTTCCCAGATGTTCCCTCCAGTTGCAACGCTGATGTTAGGTTGAAAATCTGCAACATTGTAGCCCAACAATGAGCTCAGTTGAATTAATCAGCTTAAGCCATTTGTTAAAACATTAAAGAAAGGAATTTAAAATAACTGTGTCAATGTTGGTGCCATATCAGAACCATGTGGCTATATTCAGGAAGGATCTGAAACATACTCACTGGGGGTCCCTGTCTGCCAGAATCTCCCAGAGGTCCTGGTTTGCCCTTGTGTCCCTAGGAATGAAAATGTAACAGTTGGTGAATTAGTCTTTGCTCATTCTGCTTCTGCTGAAACAGCAATTGGCATCTAGTAGACTGTGATGATCACTTTTTCACCATACCAGCCTACTTTTACTACTATTTAGAATTTTACTATTTTGCTAAGCTGTGTTAAACTAATTACATCATATAAAATGCAAAGTAAACAAATAAAACACATTTAGCTCCATGATTTAGGAGCAACCCACCTTGAGACCCTGAAGTCCCTGTGGGCCTTTCAGTCCTGGAGGGCAAGAGGTTGGGCACTACAAGAAAACAGAAATAATTTAGTCACTGAGTCACTCGGAATAAATTTCAGAGGCTGCTCCACATCCTGCGCCTCGCTCTCACTCTCACTC